AATAAAAGCAGTTTTGAGAAAAGATAACTGCTGGCGGCAATTGGACAAAGGCCCGTGGAGATCATTGACGATGGCAAGTGGAACGAGATGAATGGCAATGCAATTGCTAATCTGTACCTAGCACTAGCCGATGGAATATTGTCAAGTTTGGGGAAAAAGAAGATGGCCAAAGATATATGGAATACGTTGACAAAGTTGTACAAGACCAAATCGTTAAATAATAAAATCTTCTTGAAAAGAATGCTTTACACCCTTCAGATGGTGGAGTCAACTATGGTGACCGACTACATCAGCACCATCAACACTTTATTCTCACAGCTCACATCAATAGGGCACAATATGGAGACAGGTGAACTTACTGAGATCTTACTTCAAAGTCTACTAGATTCATATGATCAACTCATTATAAACTTAACCAACAACCTTGAAAGTTTAGTCTTAGATGGTGTTATAGCTGCGATTTTTTAAGAAGAAAGTCGATGCAAGAACAAGAATATATTGACAAATTCACATTAGGCAGAAGCTTTGACGTGGTGAGAGGGAAATCAACGGAACATGGCTCTAGTGGGAGTCATAATCAGATTAGATCAAGATCCGGAGTAAGAAAAATGTCAAGTTTCATTACTATAACAAGAAAGACAATTAAAAGGAGAATCTTGGAGTCTCAAAAAGAACGAAAAAGCCAAAGGAAAATGTCTTGAGACGTAAAAAGCTCAGGGTTGTGTAGCAAACACCTCATATGATGGTGAAGTTTTATACAGCGAGGCAACAACAGTTGTTGAAGGCAGAAAATAGTTTCCTGATGTTTGTCTTATGGACTCAAAAGAATTAATAATGATGTGGCATTACAAGCTTGGCCACATGTTGAAATGTGGTTTGAAAATTCTCTCCAAACAAAAGCTTTTTCCAAGGCTAAAAAATGTTTCATTGCCATTTCATGATCATTGTGTTACTACTAAACAACACAGATTGAACAGTTCCACTACTAGAAGTAAATGTATCTTGGAGTTGGTTTATTATGATGTTTGGCAAGCACCAGTTTTGTCCCAAGGAGGTACAAGATACTGTGTATCTTTCATTGATAATTACTCCTGGAGATGTTGGGTGTATCCAAGGCAGATGTGTTCGCAGTCTTCAAAATATTCAAAGCGAGCTTGAATCTGAAAAGAAGATCAAGTGTCTAAGGAATGACAATGGAGGAGAATATACTAGTGATAAATTTGATAAGTTTTGTCAACAAGAAGGTATCAAGAGACCGTTCACAATGACATACACTCTATAGCAAGATGGAGTGGCAGAACGAATGAACAGAACATTGCTAGAAAAAAAAAAAGCAATGTTGAGAACTACGGGGCTAGCCAAGTCATTCTGGGTAGAAACAGTCAAAATTTCATGTTTTGTGATCAAAGTTGGATCCACAATCCATAAAATGTATTTTCTTAGGGTATCTGATGGAGTTCAATATTACTTCTTGTGGGATCCCACTGCCCATAAGGTGATAATCAGCAGAGATGTAATATTTGTAGAAGGAATGTGAAAGAGAAAGAAAACGATAACACTTCAAAAGAGAAATCAAAGTCTACTATAGTCAAAGTTGGAGACGAACGAAAAGTTATAGATTCTTCTGAAGCAACACTAGATCGTGAAGAACAAGAACAAGCCAAGTCTAGTGCTCCAAAAGTTTGACTATCAACACAAGAAATAAGAGTGCCAGCTTGGCACTCAAAGTACATTATGGAGGGCAATGTTGAATAATGCTTAATAATAGAAGATGGAGAGCCGTTAACATTCCTTGAGGTTATAAATAGCCAGGAATTTTTTTGTGGATGGCAGTAATATAAGAGGAAATTGAAGCTCTTCACAAGAATAAGACATAAGATCTTGTTCCACTACCACAGGGAATGAAGACATTGGAAATAAATAGGTCTGCAAGATCAAACGACATGGCAATGACCAAGTAGAGCGATATTGTACGAGATTGGTAATGAAGGGATATGCTCAAAAAGTAGGCATTGACTTCAACGAAATATTTTTCTCCTATGGTTAAACTCTCAACAATTCGAGTAATCTTGGACATGTGTGCCACATTTAACTTACACTTGAAGCAGTTAGATGTGAAAAGTGCATTTCTTCTTGGAGAACTTGAAGAAGAGATTCATGTCCTCCAACAAAAAAGTTTTGAAGAAAAGAGAACTTAGTTTGCAGTTTGAACCAATCTTTATACGGTCTCAAACAAGCACCAAGATGTTAGTATAAGAAATTGATTCCTTCATCATGAGCCTTGGATACAACAGCCTCAATTAGATCCATGTGCTTACTATATGAGATTTGGAGATAGTGA